TGTGTAAGCCGTACGCTAAATAAATTGGTTATGTAAATTTTAGATGAGTGGAAATAGCAGTAAATATGCACCTTACTCAACAAAGGAAAAAGTTCTACTAATCCAGCTGGTAACAGAAAACGGTTTGGTAGAGAACAAAAGGACAAACAGTGCTTCAGCAATGGAGAAAAATATGGCTTGGGAGTTCATAAGAACAAATTATAACTGCTAGCTTGAGGTCAACATCTTGCTGCCTGATTATATCATCAGGCAGCAAGACGAGATTCATAGGATGAAAATGAAGATTTTAGAAGAAGATATGCTGAGGGCAAAAGCCTTAAGAGAAACAACTGAGAAGGAGAGGCAGAGAGCTATTGATGAAGCTGAATTAGCTTCATTGAAGTTAATAGACTATAAAAAGGGTAATTATAGATTTTATCATGTTTGACTTGTCACTGGAATTTTTCTATAATTAATTATTTATTTTAAGGCACTAGCAGATCTTTTTCCTTTGTTGGATACTCTGCAGTTTTAGGGAAAATGTAGGAATAAGCCACAATATGTATATTTACTGATGTTTTTCAATCTATATAACCAGAGGCTGTTATCATAGATACAAAATTGTGATTTATTTTCTGAAAATAAATCACAATTTTGTATTTTTGGTAACAATATCTGGTCATAGAGATTAAAACATCAGTAACTATAACATATAAAACATTGTGGCTTATTCCCAACTGAAGATAGTGTTTGGAAAGTGTGAATTTTGTCTTTCAGTGGCCTTTTCACTTTCGGAGCACTGAATGTCAGAGTAGGGTCTGTTTTAGCAGGTAGGCATTTGACGTAGAATCAGCGACGAGAGGATGTTTTAAAGTACCTCGGAAACTATCGCCGGGACTACGAAGAATGAATCCTGCACTAAGGTCAGTTAGGCGGCATCCTGGACTGAGATGTCTTTTTAAGATTTCAGACCCGCCCTCTATATAAAGACGAAAAAAATATACTTTGTGTTTTAAAATCATGGTTATTTTCTTTCTATTCTCCTTCCTGTTTTTTTTTTCTAGATAGGATTTAATTTAGATTTAAGGTTCTTAATATTTTAATTTCTGCTGGTGAGATATGGTTTTACCTTTTTATTTGTTGTATAGTCTTTTGTTTTTAGACTACGTATGTTTCTTTTTCAGTTTTGTTAAGTATTGATTGCAATACATACATCATAATATTTTTATGTTGTTTACTAAAAATTATTAAAAATTTTTAATAAATTGCTGCTACTTCAATATACATATATACATGTATATAAATATATATATATATATATATATATATATTATATATATATATATATATATATATATATATTATATATATATATATATATAAAATTACATCATTTTTTTGTAATGTTCTAATTGTTTTACAGTTTACTCCTGATGAAGCTATAAAATAAAATAATCTATTTTATAATGTATTTAATTATAACTGTATAATTTTTTAAATAAAGAATATTAATATTCTAAATTTGTATTAATTTTTATTTGGTAAGGAAAGGTTTTATGAAAGGAATAAACACTTAATTAAAAGGAGGGAAACTCCTTGTACTCAGTAAAGACATACTTGGTTAAGTTATCTGAGCATAGTGAGGGAAAAACTCTCATTTATTTTAAAATTAAAACAAATAAATACATTTTTATAAATAAGACAAAAACATACTACATCTAATATAATATAGGTATTTAATTCTCAAAATAAACAACTTTGAATTGAACAAAGATTAGATATAAGAAGGATATAAAATAAAATACTGAAATTATAAAAATAAAAAATTGGAAAAAAAACAACAAAAAGTGTAATCAAACTAATGATAACCATTCTGACATTTTGAGAAATAAGGTAGAACATACATAATATAAGTATTCAATATTGTTTTTACATTATCATGCATAACATTGGTGAATAAAATGTCTCCTAAAATTTAAACCTCATTCCACATCATTAAAGTTTCTACAAAGAATATAGATGCTTTTACTACATTAGTATTTTCTAGAAAATCATCATCACTATCATTATTTTCCTGTAAATATATATTGTAAAGTACTGCTGTAGCACTTATTATGCAAAATACGTATTTAATTTGGTTTGTAGGCTTCATTGCAGACAGGGAAACCATATTTTCCAGGTTCCAAATATCCATTTGGCAACATTTCTTACATTATTATATCTATTTTGTTGATCATTCCCTAAAAAGATGTATCTATCAAATAACCTATTTTTTATTTAGCTAATTATCAATAAATACCTGGCTGTGATACTGGAGTATGTAGATAGTGCCTGCACTGCATACATATTCACTATTCATAATAATTCTGGAATTTGTCCCCTTTCCATTCTAACTTTTAATCAATTTTGATCAAATAATAAGCTACCAATACTTGATCCTGGATGTTGAACAACAATATTAATCTCAAAAAACAAAAAAAAATTGTATTTGAAATTATTCATAAATATAAACAAATGAGTTAGGTTAGGATCCCGTGCTCAAGGCAGGTCGATCGTCGATCCGATGCTTGAGTACGACGAGCTGTCATTTCTGCGTACTCAAGCTCGACTTCGTGCTTGAGAACGGTTTATAGAACACAAATTTGATTCAAGGTCGATCTCAAGTATCGATTGATACTTGAGCATCGTTTATAAATATGGGCCTTAGATTAAAGAAACCGAAACCGGGGCATCTCGCGGGTTTCTTTAATCTAAGTGTTGACCAGATTGTTGACATATTTTTTTTATAATTTAATATCACAGTATATAATAAAAATAGTAGTGTAATCGGAATAGGATAAGTACGAATAGTGAATTGTATGGGTCCAACCGTTCGTAATGGCGACGGCGCTACTAGTTATGTTAGGTGCCCGGTTTGTAGACTTACTACGGTTGCCTCTTCCGACTAACCAATGAACATTAAGCCCGAAATTACGTTACGAGAGTACAGTAATTTGAATCGTAACATTGTTAATCGGCGTTTTCATGTCTTTGATGTGTAGAAAATAGTAAAGATAGTTATGAAATAAAGATGTTTAATGGATTATAATACCTAATTATGGAAAACTGTTGATATGTAGGTAGTTTGATACTTAAAATTAATCAGAATAAAGTTCTAGATTTACGTATATCTGGGACTTCAATCTCCATATTACACTGAAAATTTGTTTTATTATATTATTATATATTAGCTAACTATAATATGGCTTTAGTTCCATATATTTTAAATTATCGAACTCAAATTGGCAGATTAAATTATTGTCAAATTCTGAAAATTCACTTGTCTGAAAAACAGATTCTGACAATTCTACAAAAAAAATTTCTATGTTTCCGTCTAAAACATGGCGTTTGTATGCTGACAAACTTCAAAGGCGGCATCTGAGAGTGGGCATTCTGATTGTTTATTATTTTTTGATATACCACAGCATACTAAACAATTAGAATGCCCACTCTGCTTGAAAAAATAGGTACGCGCAGACGGAATTAGCCATGTTTTAAACGGAACCAGTGCTGTTCAGAGGCATTTTATCTGGTCTGCATAGAAAAATTAACCCGGTTTAATTTATTTACAGCAGCTATAGACACAATATGCACTATTTTATTCATACTTTTAGTTGAAGAATAGATTAAATTATTTTAAATGAACTAAATTATTAATCTTCTAAAATTTAAATTACAGTTCTGTCGTAGCTTGTCACAAATTTCTCAATTCGAGTCTATGTTTCCGTTTAAAATATGGCAATCGCGTGCTAACAAACTTTAAAGGCGGCATCTGATTGCTATTTATTTTGTGATTGTACTATACAATGATTTCAAAAAAAAAAAACAAGGATTGTAGCAAATTCTACTAAAATCACAGCTTAAATTTATAAAAACTTATTTCTAAATAATTTTGAGATTCCACGAAAAAAAAAAAAAAAAAAAATGTGTTAGTGCTAGCGGCAACGTTGAAATGCGTTATAAAAACATTGTATCCCAAAATTTAGAAATAGGAAATAAAAAACAGTATACATCAATAGGTATAATACCAAAATGGGGTTTCATGCAATGAACATAACTTTGGCATCTGAATTATATGTTTGGGCGTCACAGTGTTGTCATATTTTTTTTGTATAAAGTATAAGAGTTTTTAAAATATGTATAAAGATACTTTGACGAAATTATAATATTTTGTTATGAGAAGCCACAATTTTTGAATTCGTATTAAAAAGCATTCATAATTTTTAAAATTTCCTTCTACACTCTAAATATTTTGTATAATTACTCTTATCTTATTTTTTTATATATAATTGACTGTATTTTATACTTATTAAAAGAATCTGACAACCTAGGTACTATGTGCATATTTTTCATTTTGGAATCTGATCCTACTATTATTGAATCAATACCACCAATATCTCTTGAAAAAGGTTAATTAATCCATTTTTTAATTACCAAAATTATGAAAATATTGAATCCCTAAACTAAGTAAATAAAAATATGTATACACCTACTTTTATATTCATTTATTAACAACTATTTACAATATTTTCTCAGGATACAGATCACTGTCGGTTATTTAATCTTAACCTTCTTAATGCTTTTTTATGTAATTCAACCAGGTCAGTTTACATAATATCATAATACTTATATCATGTTTAGAAAATAGTAAAAATGTATCACGTTATTCCTTGGTTATCTACCTACTTCCAATTCCAAAAGAAAATAAATATCTACATTTAAACGGGTTTCGTTTCGTTAAGGGTTCATTTTCTTCATGTTACAGTGGAATGGCAAGTCCACACGCAGTCAAATTTATATTTTTGTTAATTTTTGTAGGTCTATTTTACTGGTAAATTAGTTTAACATTTTGCACAAACACTTTTTCCAGATCATTGTGTTTAATCCTTTCAGTTATAATGTTCCTCTATATTGACACCTTTGTTGCATTCTAAAATCATTTTTCAAACGACCTGTTCGAGGAAAACGGCTTAAAACAAATGTCACACTTGAGTATTGTTTTCAGCGTGCACTAACAAATGTCTTCTCAAATGACTTCTTTGGTTAAACTGCTTAAAACAAATTTCGCACTTATAAGGTTTTTCTCCAGTGTGGACTCTCAAATGTTTTTTCAAAGTACCTGCTTCTCTAAACTGCTTAAAACAAATTTCACACTTGTAAGGTTTTTCTCCAGTGTGGATTCTCAAATGTTTTTTCAAAGTACCTGCATCTCTAAACTGCTTAAAACAAATTTCACAGTTATACGGTTTTTCTCCAGTGTGCACTCTCAAATGTCTTTGCAATTTACTTGCTTCTCCAAACTGCTTAAAACAAATTTCACACTTGTAATGTTTTTCTCCAGTGTGAACTATCAAATGTTCTTTCAAATGGCCTGTTCTTGCAAACTGCTTCAAACAAATTTCACACTTATAAGGTTTTTCCCCAGTGTGCACCATCACATGTTTTTTTAAATCACCTGCTGCCCTAAACTGTTTAAAACAAGTTTCACACTTATAAGGTTTTTCTCTAGTGTGCACTATCATATGTTTTTTTAAATTACCTGCTGCCCTAAACTGTTTAAAACAAGTTTCACACTTATAAGGTTTTTCTCCAGTATGCACTCTCAAATGTTTTTTAAAATTTGTTTGGTTAAACTGCTTAAAACAAATTTCACACTTGTAAGGTTGAGTTTGAGCTTTTATACTGTTATTTATAGTTTTTTCATCGGCATGATGTCCTTTATGGGATGCATGTTCACAAGATAATTCCATAATCTTAATTTTCTTCTCCTCACGAGTAACACCTAAAATATAAACCAACTATAAACATTTACTACAGAAGAACAATGGATGCAGATAGAATAATAAATAATGTAAAGCATATCAAATGCCAGGCAGCAAAAGTCTAGCAAATAATATAATAAATATGTTTAGGCATCTGAGTTTCCGTCTTGTACATGCCTAAGATGCTGCTTTCTTTTAAACAAGCCTTTGGCAACAGAAGAAAAAGCAAAAACGATCATAGAGACAAAACAAAAAGACAAAAACAAAAGAGAATAGTCCAATGACGAGTGTAATGAGGCCATAAAGAACAGAAATCAAGAAATATATAGTAAGAAGAACAAGAGAAAGAAGAGCAATCTAGGAAGATGCAAGATGGGAATGCTTTATGGATGAAATGTGGATTGCAGCTATATTCGACATGTACCTAACATTTAGTTTAAAAAGACTGTATAATTTACTTTAACATTTAAAATATAAGGAAAACATAATTCAAATTAAAAAAAAAAACAAAAAGGTTTAGTTGAACAACTGTCATTAGGGTTAAACACCAGAAATACCAAATATCCAATATTAATACTCAAATATAATATTACTGTTTAGATCAGTAAATGTAACCTAATGAAATTGTATGCCTTTACTCATTGCTATTTTCCATAACCTTGCCAAACCTTGCCTTCCCATAACCTTGCCAAAAGTCAGTAAATTTACCTGCTGGCAACTGCAAAATAATCTTTCAGTTTGTAAAATTACTAAAATTGCTCATGTACTTTTACAAACATGAGAAAATTTGTGGTTAATTTTGTACATTTATGTTTATTGTTACCATTTTAATAGACAAATTTACTACTACTGCAAGGAAAAGACAATGTCAATATTATTATTTTCTTCTACCATCCTAACTAGTAAAAATATTACTTAAATTGTATGAATAAGTCTTAACAACGCTTATAACTAAAACACAAATAATAACTATTATTCCAAACTTATTACTAAAGAACAGAGACATATTCTTTGTTATTACTATTTATGCTAATTTTTATTATATACTGTTACTAACTTTTTTCAGTTTTTTGGTTTTCTTCAAATGGGTTAAGTCCATCTCTACCTTGGTTTATTTCAGTATTTGTATTATATTCCTCTAAATCAAAATAATGTGTGTCAAGTGTACATTGCCCATTGGATTCCTCCTTAATTTCACATTTAAAGCCGTCTATAAAACCATCATCTAAGTCATTATACTCTATTTTTACTTTACAGGTCTCCTCACTAAATTCTTGTTTAACTTCCATTTTATTATTTTATGTACTTCTTACTTCAATAAACAATACTAATTTGCTACCAAAGAAGATACCTTAGAGCAAAATCCGTAAATGAAATGTGAAATGAAATAACATAATCTACTGCAATGCAATGTAAAGTTGTTGACATATGTTTTTTATAATTTAATATCACAGTATATACCAAACATAGTAGTGTAATCGAAATAGGATAAGTGCGAATAGTGAATTGTATGGGTCCAACCGTTCGTAATGGCGACGGCGCTACTAGTTACGTTAGGTGCAAGGTTATTAAAATTAGACAGGTTGTCTGGTAACTTTACACCAATCAGCGTCGAGAATCTAACGGCGGGAATGACGTCACTGAGAATGCTACATTCAAATTCATTCACTTTACTCCTCGAAATGAACTCGAAAAGCAACAATGATTGTAAATATATTAATCTATGTATATCGAAAACAAATACATTCGGACTTTTAATAACTATTTATTTCATTCAATTTTTAAAAAATGTTGGAGATAAGTACCTGCAGAGTTACAGAAATCATAAAATATTATTGCAGCTAAACATATGTAGCAGAATAGAATTACTATATTAAATTGGAAGTAGATTCTTTCTTGTGTATACATGCGACTAAAACATGTTAATATGCTATATTAATAATGGGTTGAATACAATTTACTTTCTTAAAATTATTTTGAATTGAGGATAATGCATGTAGTGGATTATTATATTATAAATTACTCCAAACTAGTAAACCATGCTGAAAAAGAGATTCAACTAAAGATTTATATATCAGAATTAGTAGTTTTTCCCTTAACTTCAATATATTTGAGGAACATCTGATTACATTACTGGATTATATAATAGAATACAAAAAATATTAAAACATGATTTCATTAAATAGATACCTATTAAGTTGTACATAATTAACAGTAAATGATAAAAATCAAAATCAGTGAATTAACACATTTTTACTGAACATTTAAATGACTATACCTACTTTCCACCTTTTTTCAGCTTTTTAGGTTGTATGTTTAAAATAGTTTAGCTTTTAAAGCATCCTCATAATCTTCCATGCGAAAGTGTATATTACCAACTCTTTTATTAAAACAGGACCACTTATCCTTCCTCTGACACTTGCTCATCAATTGATTTTGAATTTTAACATTTTTTTGGAAATGTAAAAAACGTTAAATTCCTTCCATCCTTTTTGGAATTTTTTGAATTATATTTGCAAATTGCTACACTACAAATATTTCCACCAGTCATCTGAATCAATAAAAAAATTGAATAAAGCTATGTTTCCTGCGTTATTCCCAATGTTACCTTTACTATATAATACAGCAGAAATAAAATCCAGTAAGACACAACGACGTTAAATGTATCTTAACACTTGTATAAGAGTATTGGGTCCAAGTTGTATACTAAAAATCACTCAATAATATCTATAGACATATTATATCTCATATAAGAGTATTGGGTCCAAGTTGTATACTAAAAATCACTCAATAATATCTATAGACATATTATATCTCAAGATATTAACATAAACTAAAGCACTAACGATATTTAACAACAAAATATATTTTAAAAACCACTTCTATTTTGTTTTCAAACAATTCGTAAAATTGACCCCCTGGGTGACGTCACACGTCGTATTTCATTCTGTCAATGTCATGAGTTACCATGCAACCTCCCTTTTACTAACCTTGCTCGTGGTACACGGTTCGTAGACTTACTACGGTTGCCTCTTCCGACTAACCAATGAACATTAAGCCCGAAATTAAGTCACGAGAGTACAGTAATTTGAATCGTAACATTGTTAATCGGTGTTTTCATGTCTTTGATGTATAGAAAATAGTAAAGATAGTTATGAAATAAAGATGTTTAATGGATTATAATACCAGATACCTACATATCAACAGCTTTCCATAATTAGGTATTATATTACTGTGGATTATATACCTATAATTCTTTGTTAAAAAACATTTCTTCTGCAATTATTCCAAATTGCAGAAGATCGAGAAGCCTTCGCAATGGTGATCGCCAACGTTGGATAGTTCTGATATGGCACGCGAAGAAGACACGTAAAACGCAGCGGTCTCTGTTTACCAGTGAACATATTGCAAGGCCAAATGATTATGTTTGTAGAAATATTAGTAGATAGAAGTTAACTTTGGGAGCAAAAGTAGTGTTTTATGGGAATATTCTATGAGAACGTCCGAGACGTCTAACTTTGGTGTAAAGCGGTATTTCACGTTTGTTTATAAATTTATTTCAAGTATCGATTAATTATCGATTTTTTACTTGATTAATTGAGAAAATCAAAAACATAACTTAATTGTTCTCACGGTGAAAAATCTCCTTATATTAACCTATGTTCTGTGGGTCCAAAAATTTCTTAGTTGTCCTTTATCCGGATAGAGAAAAAAGGATAATAATAAAAATAGTATGTTACAAAAAAAATTGGTATTTTTTATTTTATTTAAAGAATAAAACAATTATCAAATTTTGCCGTTATCTTATCAATCAGCGTAAATGAATACAATAAAATTTACACAAAAAGAATATTTTAAGTCTTCTTGAAGACAAAACCACTTTAAAGCCAATTTCAATATCTTTAAAACTTTTTATCTATCTGAATTTTTATATTTTCTTTATTGCAAAAACAAAACTTTAAAACATTTTACAAATGAAGTCTACTTTTGAGTTAAAATGGTAACGACAATGATGTCAACAAAATTCTGAACAGAAAATCACTGACCTTTCCTTTGTATATTGTATTTAGACCATATCCAGAATCATCCACACTCCACAGCAATGTGATCTGCCACTATTCGCCTCTGCTTTCTTATTTTCGTATCTGCGAACCTCCTGCAGCGACTGTACGAAACACCTGACTCATTTCTCCAACAATTAACACTTTAAATTTAATTCTCCAAACACTCAGCTACTTCTCAATAACACAAGGACCTCTTTCTGTCAACTTGGTGCCGCCAAACTACACTCACCGGCAAAATTAACGGAACACCTTAAAATTGGGACATGTTAGATGTCTCGAATTTCCTAAACCTGTTGTCCGATTTTAGTGACTTTTTTAGTATGTTATAGGTATATTATTTAAGAATATCGATGTAATAATATTGTTGCTAGACAGGTCAATGTCATTTTATACCGGGTGTAACAATCCTACTGTGTTTTTTCCTTTAAAGTTTCTTAACATTTTCTTTTTTGATTCATTTACTTATGTTTGATAATAAGAAAGTTAGGTACGTTAACAATTAGCCATGTTTTTCATCAATAAATCCTCATTTTCTGCTTAGTTTAAAAACAAGCCTAAAGTAGGCTATAAGTTAACAATTTAATGCACACACCGGCAAATTTAAAGGAACCTGTTATTAATGCAATATTTCTTTATATTTGTATTTTATAGACTATATCTACATAGGTTTGAAAGCTCCTTGTCACAAGAAAGTCTTAAATGTCAAATTAATTTGTTTATTTGTATTGTGTTTTACATTTTAGTCATTATGTCTGTTCATAACAAGTACAAACTTGTATTTAATTGAGCGCACAATAAGAAAGAGACTTAAAGAAGCCGGTCTCAAGTCATATGTGCCAATAAAAGCTCCCAGACTCCAGAGACACCATCGTTTAGCACGACTACAATTTGGTCGAGTACATCAAAATTGGAATGATAACCACTGGAGTCAAATTCTCTTTACGGACGAGAGCCGTTTCTGTGCAAATTACATCGACGGTAGAGAAAGATTGTATTAACGCCAAGGAGAACGAAATGCCCCTTTCAATTTTACTACGACCGTACCTTTTGGTGGAGGTTCAATTATGGTGTGGGGCGGTATATGTTTGGGAGCAATAACAGAGTTAGTGGTGATTGATGGTGGAGCATTAACAGCAGATAAGTATATCAGAGATATTCTCCAAGACCATGTGGTACCTTTTTCACCATATATTGGCGAAAATTTTATTTTATAGTGTAAGAGTGTAAGTGTAAGATATTTCTTATTACAAGTGGGTATAACAACGATGAATTGGCCAGCTTGTTCCCCAGACCTAAACCCGATAGAGGATATGTGGGACATGCTAGGCAGAAAACTTAGGGCACGGGTTCCTGCTATTCAAAAGAGAGAAGTTACAATTGCAATAGATTGAGGAATGGGAGAGGCTGCCCAACAACTAATCGATAGCGTTATCAGAAGTATGAGAAGACGAATAACTGCAGTTGTAAGGGCTCGTAGGGGAAACACACGCTATTAAAGCCAAAAAAATGCATAAAAAAAACCAATTTAAGTTCAAACTGTACAATAAAGTTAATGCATTTAAAATCCGTATTTTGTTGAGTCTGACATCTTTGTGTTTTATTTCTTCTTAAACAGGTTTTATATTGTACTACCATTGTAATACAAATTCAAAATACTTCACCAACATTCGTATTATGATATTATCTAAACAGTATATAGACTAGAGAGAAAATACTCAGATTTTATGGTTGTTCCTTTAAATATGCTGGTGAAACTAAGAAGAAAATGAGCATTTATTGATGAAAAACATGGCTAGTTGTTAACGTACCTAACTTTTTTATTATCCAACACAAGCAAATGAATCAAAAAAGAAAATGTTCAGAAAGCCTAAAGGCCGTATGACACTATGCATTTTCTTGTATCATTTCTTATATCGTTTCTGATATAGAAAGTTATTTATGTTTTCTTGTATCGTTTCTTGTACGTACATTTTTGCCCTGTATGACACTATGCAAGTTCTTTTACCAGAAACTGTATGTGATTTGGCACATGATTGGTCGAAATTTTGACACCTATAAAAATAGAACTGCAGTACCTGAGGCACCGAACAAGGGCGCAAGGGCCTGAGGACCCAAGCTACTGGGGACTGAGAACATATGCTACTGATTATTTTTAAAAATACTGTGGTGCAAAAATGAAAGAAATAAAATGTCCCAATATGAAAACTAAATTGGAAACCACAATTTTTGAAGATATTCAACAGGTTGTAATGGAAGACAGAAATAATAAATAATTTGGTTGTAATAATTTATTTTTTTTTTAAATTATGTGTTTGAATGGTATGCTCTTGAAACTCTACTCTCTTATTTGGAGATAT